ACAACTTTGAGACATTTGTTTAGTCTAATCCTTGCGGAACATAGCGGATAATCCTTAAAGACCTTACATTATACTAGCAGACCATCTTGGTTAACAGCATTCAAATCGATGTTCTATTTTAGAAGATATACAACATTCCTATCTCTTTAGTAGTCAAAAGAATCTTGGGAATATCTCCTCTATTCTCTTTACCCATAAAAGTAAATAAATTGATGACTCTAGCATATTCTTTACCTTAAACAACACGTATGTGAGATATACTAAAGTACATTTGCCTATCTCTGCTTCGCAAGACAGAGGCAGGTCTAGAATTTGTAGTCAGGACCTAATTATGGTGCTGGAAGCTACAACTGTTAACAAACCAGATGCAGACAGAAGCTGACCAGATAACGAAATTGCAGCTGTCAGGAAGGCACACCAGCAGAGCAAACAAATTCCACCTTCGGCTGCTTTGAGAGGGACCATCGGCCTTTGATACAATACACATGCCAGAGGTGAGACTGAACACAGAGAAAGGACACCAATGTCTCCCTGGCTTTCTAAAGGCCTCTTCTTTCTCAAAAAGGACTGACAGCAACTGACACAGGAGAGAGATCTGGGTGCAGAAAGAAACTTGAAAATTCTGCTCTAGTCAGTTTTAGGCTCTCATTAAATTCAGAGCTTCTCCTGCCACACAGGAAGATTGTCACTAGGTCAAATGAGGAATAAGAAATCTGTGCACCTTGAGATCAACTATTTTGCCTCTTAGAGTATACATTGTTCAAAGTACACTATATCTTGAACTTTGTGGACCATGACTGACAGGAAGGAATGCATTTTATATCATAACCCAGTACATACAAGACACCACAATTTAAGTTTTGTGGAAGTTATCCTTAGTACATACAATGAATATAGTGTTTGCTTTATGTCATCTTTTTTAATGCTGGCTACATACAACAAATTGATTTCATGACTGCGTAATGCGTTAGAACCTAGGCTGAGAAACCATGCTATAGTACACACATGTGGGCTGGCCTCCGCCTCCCTCTCTAACTGCATTTCGTGTTGTTCTCTGCCATATTTCCCCCACTGCTGCTGCCCCCACTCCGCCCCACCACCGAATTTCTATTATTTTTTACATTAAACCCCAAGATCCCTTCCTAAAATATGCCAACCACTTTTCTGCCTCAGGGCCTTTGATCCTGTTGTTAGTGTTGCCTGGTACACTTCCCCCAGATCACTGCACTTCATCATTCAGGTCTCAAGACAGAAGTCAGTTCTTCAGAGGGGTCTTCACTGACCACCCAATTTGAAAGAGCCATCACACACAACTCCAGCCAGGGCAGAGGGTAGGGGGAGGAGTTCACCACTCTTAGGGTGGTTGGGAAGTCTAAATGACAAAACTGTAAGACAAGCACAAAGAAAACCAGTATTCCACAAATGTTACTTTCCATCTCCCTATGCCGTTGTTCAGGCCATTGAATTGTCACTATGGAAATTCTATTCCATTTGCTTAATGATGGCCTGACTCTGATAAGTGAGGATTCCATCCTCCAATATCCCCCAAGTACTTTGTAACCTCTCAGGGTACTTACCACATTCTTATTTTTTTCTTTTATCATTCAGCAAATATCTGAGGGCCTAATATGGTATAAGCAATAGCAGTGAAAATAAAGATCAGGTCCTCTCCCAGTTCAGTTCAGTAAGAGTGACAAACTCATAAATAATTTCAACTGAATGTGGCAAGTAAATAAGAAAGATGTGTACTATGTAAAGCTCTGACCAAGAAAAAAATGAAAAGTCAACTGTCTTTGAGTAGAGAAGGCATCACAGAAGAGGTGACACCTAACCTGGGTATGAAAGGATCAAAAGGAATTTGGCCAGCAAACAAGGGGATAAGGGTATCTCATGTAGAAGGAACAGCATGTGCAAAGTAGAGGGAACACTCATACCACCAGTTTGAAGTTGCTTAAAATGTTCAGCGAAAGAGAAGCAGCTAAAAGGAGTGTCAGGAGCTGAAAGAAGCTAGATAGGTGAGTGCTAGATGATGGAGGGCCGTGTCTGCCATTCCAGGTACTGTGAATTTTACACTGTAGAGTATGGAGAGTCTAGAGTTTTAAAGAGGTGAATGACCTCAAAGATTTGGGTCTTAAAAAATTCGTTCTGGGGCGCCTGGGTGACTCAGTTAAGCATCTGCCTTTGGCTCAGGTCATGATCCCAGGGTCAGGCTCCTTGCTCAGTGGGGAAGAAGTCTGCTTGTCCCTCTCCCTCTGCCCCCCACTTGTGCTCACTCTCTCTCAAATAAATAAAATCTTTTAAAAAAATTCCTTCTGTGGCAGAGAAAATAATGGATTGAAGAACTGCCATACCACACTGTTAAAAGTCTGGGCAAGAAATACTGCAACAGTCTGGGCAAGAAATAAGGAGAGCTTAAACCAAAACAGGACCTAGTGACCACTTCAGTATGGGAGGCATAGAAAAGGAATGGAGAATAACTCTGGTTTCTGGTTTAGGTTATACATATTGTAATACATAATAACTATTACATTAGAGTTATATAATATTAAAGCTATATTATAGGTTATAATATAGTGATATCATTGGTTAACTTGATGGAATTAGAGAAACCAGGTGGAATGATAGCAGGTTCAGTTTTGGTCATGGCAAATTTCAGAGGCCTTTGGGTAACCAAGTAGAGGTGTCCAGGAAGCAACTAGGTTAGCCCTAGCAGGTGTGAGATGAAAACTGAAATTTAGACATGAATGCTTCTGCACTAGTAAAACTCATGTGTGTGGATGAAATGCATAGACTAAGAACTGAAAATATTAAAGACTGAGTCCCAGAGAAAGGCATTTGAAAAGCAGGCAAGGGCGGGGGGGGGGGGGGGGGGGGGAGATGAATGCTCATGAACTTCAGCTGTTGCAGAAGAGCTAAATAAAATAAACTTTGAGAAGAAATTACTGGACCGGAACTGAAAAAGCCATTAGAAACTTAGACAAGAGCAACTTCATTGAAGCCATTCAAGAGAAAGTCAGACAACATAGTACTGAGGATGAGGAAGAAGGGGCAGTTGAAGCAGGTGAAAATACTGTGCTTTCAAGCAGTTTACTAAGAGATGGAGGATTGGGCAATCACTGGATAAACACAGCATGGGGGATGTGCTTTATTTCATTTTCTCAAGATATATGACCAGAACACTGGGAAGCAGGAAAAGGAGAGAAAGGCTGAAAGCACAGGAAAGTAAAAAGATAAGCAGAAGCAAACGGTCTTGTAATGGATAGGAGGAAATGAGATGTAGAGGAAAGGTGGATTAGCCTTCAACACCACTTGCATTATACTAGAAACACAAAACCAAACGATGGCTTAACGTATATACTGACGAGTAGTTTGGGGGCCTGAGGTTGAAGAAAATGACTGTTAGACTCTGGCATCTGCTTAGAAGGGAGGAAAAAGGAGAGGAAGGGGCAGGGTTTGGAAAGTGTGAAAAGAGCTCTTCAGGAAAGGCACAGGGGGAGATGGAGTTAAGGAAAGGATTGCTGTGGAGCAGTGGAGAAAGAAGGGGTGGCGAGAGGGGCTCTGTTGCTAAATTCACAGCTATATCCATCTGACCACAGCCATCTTTCTACCCCCCTGTCCGTTATTCATAAGTGGTTAAGAGATTTGCCAGTTAAGTGAATTAACTAGAACCCCGGTGTTCTCAAACAAGTAAGTGAATTAAAATCACCTACAGGCTTTTTAAAAATGCAAATGTCAAGCCCCACTCCTACTGATTGAGAATTACTGGGGGTGAAGCTCAAGCAAGTGAATTTTCCAGAAGCTCTCCCAAGAGATCGTCAGGGCATTCCTGTTGAAAAGCACCTACCGGGGCACCTGGGTGGCTCAGTCGTTAAGCGTCTGCCTTCGGCTCAGGTCATGGTCCCAGGGTCCTGGGATCGAGCCCCGCATCGGGCTCCCTGCTCGGCGGGAAGCCTGCTTCTCCCTCTGCCCCTCCCCCTGCTCATGCTCTCGCTGTCTCTCTCTCACTCTCTGTCTCTCAAATAAATAAATAAAATCTTTAAAAAAAAAAAAGAAAAGAAAAGAAAAGAAAAGCACCTACCTATAAGGTAATCAACTGGCTAGAAGAGAACTGATGCAAATACAGCTCTTACCACATGGCCCTCAGATGGGGTGTGGAGCAGTGTTCTGCCGCTCAGGACAGCACCCACTGCAAGACCTAGGAAGATTCGGGTGAGTTTTGAGATAGTCACACACACAACACAATACTCTTAAATTAAACGCGTTAAGGTGAAGCTGAGAACTTGAAAAAATGCAATGATGAAAAACATAAACATTTAAAATGTTTGTTCGAAATGACGTCTCACCTTAGGGTATGAGACCCAGTGCTTACCCCTACACTTTGTTACATTACCCTAAAGTCTCAGCAGTACCAAAGTGGAATTCAGGGTGCAGCAAGAAATAGGGAGAGGAAGGAAACTGCAGAAACAGCCCCTGGAAAGGGGAGAAACATAATGGGGAGAAGGTAGAAGAAACCGGGATGCCTCTGAGCGTCCTTCCGCCCCAGGACCTGGGACGCTACGCAACCAGGACGCCGAAGCCGTTCTGGCCTCGCCTGGCACTCACCATAGTCTCAGGATCTCGGCGCAGGGAAATAGGTACCTTTGCCACAGGAAGACACCACCTCTACAACAACGCCCAGTTACTCCGGCAACGGAGCCCCGCCTGCTACCGGATGTGCGGGAAGGCCGCCGCCCCGCCCCTTCGTTCCTAGTGGCTGGGAGGACTTGAAGCTCCGCCCACCCGTGGACAGACCCGCCCCTCCATGGCGTCGCTTGAGGCGACAGAACGCTGCCTACCTCTTTCCAGCGTCATCACTTAGGTTTGGTTGATAGGTGACCCGGAAGTTAAGTGCATAGGCGGCTAGAGCTCCAAATAGTCTATGTATTATTTTTAGGTAGGCATCTATCCATTTTTCACTTAACGAAGCCTTACACCGTACGTGCTGTGTTACTCGAGTTTTAAGACACCACAGAGTGTATTTACGTTTCTCTTTTGGAAAATTATTCCGGAAACGAAACCCTGAGAACAGGATGTGATTAATAGTGAGCTAGCAGCTGGATGTCAGGAAGGCCTGGGCGGGTCAGCTTGGTAAGGAAGAGGAGTGGGCGAAGTTAACCCCGTGACGCGGAGCCCTACAGTCTGTCAAGTGAAGCCCCCTGAAATCGGAAGAGTAAGGAGCCTGGGCGGTAAGTCCAAGAACGGGCTTGTGTAACGGAGGAGGATGTGAGAGGGACGGAGGTCTGGGTTGGAGTTTGGTGTTCAGACGCTTTGGATTTAGGGGAAGGTTGCCTTTTGTTCTGGGAAAGCTTGTTCAGACGCGGACTGAACACAATACTCTTAAATTAAACGTCTTTATTCGGATTCGGCTTACCGGCACGGCAGAGGTTGACAGGCTTGTCGCTTCCACAACTGTTACCCACTGCACACCCTCCCCTCCCTGGGATTGGTACTTGCGGGCAGACCCTCGCCGTGCGTGTGCTGTGCGCTGCGCAGCGTCCGAGCGTCCGAGTGGCAGGGCTCATTGCTCTTGCAAAAGGGTCTCTGGAGACCTGTTTTCAGAGTAGAAGCAGGGTAGGCATGGAAGACCCTGTGCCGAGTTAGATCGAGTACTCTTTACGGTGAAACCAGTTGTCATCTAATGTACAATTTATCATACCCATATCACTGCACCAGCACCACCTTCCTTCTCGTGTTCTCCAGTGAATCTTAGTCTTTATTATAAGGCCATGCATACATTTCTGAAAACATATGCCATTTTAACTTTTATTCCCAAGAAAGTGCAAATTAAGTTGAGTATTTTTGTCGTATATTTAAACATATAAACGGAAGGTCCTCTCTGACACATAGAGTGAGCAAATTAGTATCAAACATTAGTATCACTAATGTCCCCTGAGAAAGTAATTTAATTCCTTTCAAATTCCTGTTGTCTTATCAGTGATACAAAAGACCCTACGTTAACTTCACTGAAGTTTCTTAGGACACATATCTGATAGAGTATACTTGTTGAAAACAGTGAAACAAATTTGAAAGTAAACCTCCCATAATTTTTTGAGACATTTGTTAGCCATAACAATATAACCTGTGAAATTGCATTTTGAAATGCATGTGTACTAAATGCAGAAACAAGTAGAATATTATAACATCTAAACTACAGGGACTTTATATGGTATTGTTTTAATTCTTTGACTTTATACATTTTTAGGTTTTTCGGTAGAAGTTTTGAGTGCATTTTCATTGGTTAAAAAATGACTACTCTTGAAAATTTAGAAACCAAAGGTAAGTGTTCTTCTTTTGATGATAATTGCTTTTAAAACATGCAATTTATGACCATAGGACGAAGGCATGTTTGAGCCAGGTAACTAAATCTCATAGAGCTCTTGGGAACTCTTTGTATTTCAGATTTCTTCATGCTTGTTTTGTAATGCGGTGTTTACATTTCCGTACTCAGATATACACCTGAATATTAACATCCTTGGATAATATTCATTACTACTGTTAAGCTACTGTTAAACATTTAGTGTAAAAGCAGAGTTTTGCAGCTATGTTTTGTCTCCACTAGAAGATTAAGATTTCAATAAACAGATATATTTTTAAAGATTTAAGTAGGTGGACAAGCAACTAGGAGGTATAAAAGACTTCTTTTTAGTGTTGGGTTGTTTTACTTGGGCTGCTATAACAAATCACCACATCTGAGGAGCTTAAACAACTGAAACTTATAGCCTCACAGGGAAGGATCTGTTCCAGGCCTCTCTCCTAGTTTCTGGTGGTTTGCTGGCAGTTTTTGGTATTCTGTTTTTTTTTTTTTAAGATTTTATTTATTTGAGAGAGAGACACAGAGAGCACGTGAGCATGTGGGGAGCGGTGGGGAGAAGCAAAGGGAGAGGGAGAAGCAGATTCCCTGCTGAGCAGAAAGCCTGACATGAGGCTGGATCCAGATCCTGGGACTCCAGGATCATGATGTGAGCCTAAGGCAGACGTTTAACTGACTGAGCCACCCAGGTGCCCCAGTTTTTGGTATTCCTTAGCTTGTAGGTACATCACCCTGATCTCTGCCTTTATGTTTACATGGCATTCTCCCTGTGTTTGTGTCTCTGTATCCAGATTCTTCCTTTTTTATAAGGACATCAATCATATTGAATTAGGGGCCCACCCTACTCCAGTATGATCTTATCCTAACTAATTACATCTGTAATGACCCTATTTCCAAATAAAGTCACATTCTGAGATATGGACGGTTAGGACTTTAACATAGGAATATTTGTGGAGGGGGGACGCAATTCAACTCATAACACTAACTACAGTAGTTATTTTTTAGTCCTGTTTTGCTTGTCCTCTCTACAACATTTCATATGTTGATCATTCCCACCTTTTGAAGTACTTTCTTTCCTTGATTTCCATGATACCACTCTTGTTTTCAGCCCTTCACTGTCCAATGCAGTAGCCACATGTGGCTGAGTTTAGATGAATATTTTTAAAAATTAAAAATTCAGGGGTGCCTGGGTGGCTCAGTCGGTTAAGCATCTGCCTTCGGCTCAGGTCATGATCTCAGGGTCCTGGGATCGAGTCCCACATCGGGCTCCCTGCTCAGCAGGTAGCCTGCTTCTCCCTCTCCCACTCCCCCTGCTTGTGTTCCCTCTCTCACTGTGTATCTCTGTCAAATAAATAAATAAAATCTTTAAAAAAAATTAAAAATTCAGTTCCTCAGTCACCCCACCCACATTTCAAGTGCTCATTAGTCACATGTGGCTAGTAGCTATTGCCTTAGAAAATGCAGATATAAAACATTTCCATCACTGCAGAACATTCTACTGGACACCACTGCTCTAGCAACATTTTCTGTTTCTTTTTCATCCTCCTCTTCTGGTTTATCTTAAATATTAATATGTTTCAGCCCTCTTTCTCTTCTGCTCTCAGGGCTTCATAATTATCTTAAAAATAACTTCCAGATCTGTTTATAGCCCAGATCTCTTCCCTGTGATTCAGACCCTTATAGCCTACTGACCATGTTCACATAGGCATTGGTAACCGTATTAGCATGTCCCGAAGTGAGGGCCTCCTGACTTGGGTGGAGTGAGTTCTGGAGGTTGGGGCTGTCAGTGAGAGATGAGAAACTACTTTCCAGAAGCCAGCTTTGCAGCAAATAGACCTCCAACAGCAAACTCTTTAAAAGGGATTTAAATCAGGGCACCTGGGTGGCTCAGTCCATTAAGCGTCTGCCTTCAACCAGGGTCATGATCCCAGGGCCCTGAGATGGAGCCCGAGCCCTGCATTGGCTCCCTGCTCAGTGGGGAATCTGCTTCTCCCTCTGTCTGCCCCTATCCCCCTGCTTGAGCTCGCTCGCTCTCTCTCAAATAAGTAAATAAAATCTTTTAAAAAGGTGGGGAATGGATTTAAATCTGTTTAGGAAGGAAGAAAGAGAAGATCATGCCAATAAATATTTAATTGAATTTATTCAGCTGTGTGTGAACAGCATTTCAGAGTCACCAGAAAGCTTTTATAGTATTTAAATAAGCAAACCAGAGAGGATAATGAAATTAATAAACTGGGGGTTTGTGAGAAATAGAGCAATTAAATGGTAACTAAGGTGAAAGTCATTAGCATGGTGCTTGGCAAAAAACAAAACCTAAATACAATATTATCATTAGTGATTAAAAGTTAGTTATTGCAAGGCCTCTGTGAAAGTAAATTTTTTTTATTTGTTATTACCTGTTTGTAACGAGGGTTGGAGTTATACATACATTATTTCATTTGATCTTAATTTTACAGTAAGGTACATAATTCAGCCGTTAGTCCTCTTCCTACTTAATGTTAATGGTTGTTAATGAACAAAAGTTCTTGTATTGCATGGTCTAAAAATAGGTGTACTTATCATGGTTGACATTTGTCAGTTGCCTGCACTTCCTATAACTGCCTCACAAGAAAAGCAACATTGGTTTATAGCAACAGAAGTTCCTCTCAGTGGGCATTTGAGCAAAACTGTCATCATGAGGGGCGCCTAGATGGCTCAGTCGTTAAGCGTCTGCCTTCAGCCCAGGTTGTGATCCCGGGGTCCTGGAATCGGGCTCCCTGCTCAGCGGGAAGCCTGCTTCTCCCTCTCCCACTTCCCCTGCTTGTGTTTCCTCTCTCGCTGTGTCTGTCAAATAAATAAAAATAAAATCTTTTAAAAAAAAAAAAACCTGTCATCATGAGAGGGATGCATAGTTGCTGCTAGGACCTCATTTGAATGGGAAACGTACAATAAAGAGAAACAATTCAAAAATAAGAATTTGAACCCAAAACTTCCTTGAGAGCAAGATTAAAATTACAGGTATTAAAGTCAGACCGTTTAGTGAAAGTAAACCAAGTAGGAAAGTCTGAGACATTTAAATATTTAGAATTCCATAAAATAACCTAACTTCAACACTCATTCTCTGGAATAACAGGTATTAGGTGAAGAAGGAATCCCTGGGCAGATAAATTTGGGAAATTCTGGATTAAAGGAGGGATTATACTACAGGACCTCCCAGAGCCTTTAGCCTACTAATGCACACTGTGAAGGGGCAGAGAGATGTAGTGCTCAGCCTTGCCCCCATTTACTTGACCAGGGAACTCTTTATTCATAGAGCCTGTGACAAAAAGAATGTTTAGATTCCATGTCAGTGAATGTGGGCCTAACTCTTAAGTCCATTGTCTTTAACATTTTTCTAATATAATAGTAACTAAACCTTATTAAATAATATTGGTGACAAATAAAAGAATATTGATTTCGGGGCACCTGGGTGGCTCAGTGGGTTAAGCATCTGCCTCCAGCTCAGGTCATGATCCCAGGGTCCTGGGATCAAGCCCCGCATTGGGCTCCTTGCTTAGTGGAGAGCCTGCTTCTCCCTCCGCCCCACAGCTCGTGCTCTATCTCTTACTATTGCAAATAAATATTAATAAATAAATATTGATTTAAAATTACTGAATGACAATCCCTAAATTGTTCAATTGTTTGATAGCTGAATCTTTGTATATTCTGAAAAGTTTGTCAGACTATAACTGAGTTAGGAATTAATGCTTTGGTGTAGAGGGAAAAAAAGGTAAGCAGTTTTTAAATGAGTTAGTGGATATTAAAACGAAATCTTCTCAGCATATTAACATTGATGAACTTCAGAAAGCACTTACTCATCTTTTCTGTGCCAAGCACCGTTTCATTAAACCGACAATACAAAGATTAGGAGGCAGACCCTGCCCTGTGGAGCTCCCAACAGTCCAGTCTGTGGGAAAAACAGATGATTTTAAAACACTCTGATATTTGCATTGTTCTGAAAGCACTGAGGGATTAGAGGAGAGTAATGAGTAAGTGATCTGCCCAAAGTCACAATGTGTGGCAAGTAGGGACTTACGGTATTTTGACCCAGAGTCTACTGTTCTTGTTACTGCACCATCCTATGGACTTAGAGTATCTGTCTTCTTAGATTTACAGTTTTATGAAAAAAAGGAGGAATGTTTCTTTAATGACAGACTATAAAATCCTATTCTTTTTGCCTCAGTATTCTAGAGTAAGGGTTGGTAAGTTATGGCCCTCAGCCTCCTGAGAATATTTACAAATCAGTTTGGTGATGGGGAACACTAACCTTGAATCCCACTTAAGCCAAGGGTTATCCCAAATAAAAAAGAATTCTATGTTTCTCATTATTAGACCTATATTACAAAAAAAAAAAACAAACGACTCAATTTCTTATTATAGTTTGAGTTTCACCTTTGAAAATGAGTTTTTTTTTCTTCTTTATGTAAGTACCTATCTCTTATCCTCAATTTTGCCTCGTGGTCCACAGAGCCTAAAATATTTATCTGACCCTTTATGGAAAATGTTTGCCAACTCCTGTTATAGAATATTATTTGTTCTTCCCTACATTTCAATAATCTTTGGGGAAGGCAGTAAGAATGAGCCATAAACTTGAGATACACTTCATTCTTTGATAACTGATCACAAGTAGAAGAAAAGTTGATGAATAATTGAAGAATCATTCTGTTGGTTCCCTTCAAAGAGTGGGGAAGAGGGGCTGATGTTTTGCTTTACTTATACATCATTCCTAATTATGGAGCTGGTACCACGGATCATTGCCTTCCCACCTGAGAGACGATAACTGCTCCTGAATGTGTCCTGGATTGTGCTTAGTACATATGTAATAAAGGTTTCTGTGTGTGTCATAAGGGAAACCAGAATGATGAAACACAAGTTACCAGGCGAGAAAATAGAAAGCCCTGACTCCCACTGGCTTCCTTGCTGGGGCACATTAGCTAGAAGCGTAGTTATTACAGAGTTGTTAATAGCTGCCATGGCATGTTGTACAACTCTCGCACTCATAAATGCTTGAGTAAGTACAACAGTTTACATAAAGTTAAGAGTAAATTGAGGCTGAACCAAGTTGATAGAATTTCTTCACTGGCGTTTTATGACCTATTTCGTTTGAAAAGAGATTTAAATACCCATTAATGTTCCTTTGCCTTTTAAATTTAGCAGTAATTATTCCATCATTTGTTCTTGAATCTCCATTACCTAAAATTCCAACTCAAAAAAGTTCTGACTTGCCTAAGAATCCTGTTTAATCATCGCAGGGTGTCACACCTGCTTATTTCTTCAGCTTCAGTGGACCTGAGTGGTCTAGCTCTAGTTTGTCTTTTTGTTGTGTTTTTAATTAATCTGTAGTTAATTCATGATTCAGCATAACTTCTTAAATGACAGAATATCTTAGTGACAGCATTAAATTTGCTTTGATAGAGTTAGACAGATTTTTAAAAGCAGATTTTAAGAACATGGGAGCAGGTCTTCATTCTTGCAAGAGTTCAGTGGAAGATCTCCTCCTAAGTGCTGATGTGCTATAGCATGACCTGAAATACCAAACTCTTTATTTCACTTTCTAAAGTAATTCCTTTATTCATCTTTTTGAAGGTGGAGTTAGTCCTAAGTCCCAAGTTAACATTCAATATGGAAATGACAAAATATTTTATTCTAATGGAAAATGTTTTGTAAAATAGAACACATTATATACCAGATGTCTTTCCACCTCCTCTCTAACATAACTCAAGATTCCCAGTACACTGCTATATATGTAAGAAAAATCCCCCCCCCAAAATCTGTTAAGTGAAAAAATAGTTCTCAAGTCTAGTGATGTAGTTTTGTAAGACTTGAGCATAAGAAAATAAAAGAGTTATATTTGATGACATAACTTAAGCTTTCTCCCTTTAATCAAGATCCAAACTTTATTAGGGTTTTTTAAAGAATAATAACAATAGCAGTAGAAGCTAACATGTGGTTAGAGCTTACTGTGCCAAACACCATTCTAAACACTTTACACATATTCATGTATTAAAATCTTAATTATTGTATTAAATCATTGGTGGTGAGCATACAAAAAATAAATAAAACTAAATAAGAACATAAGGCATAGATCTATTGATACATTGCTAGAGTTGTTTTGTGAGGCAGTTTGACAATACAGATCTTCACCTGGCACATTAATTCCATTCTTGAGAATTTATTAAAAAGAAATAATCCAAAAAAAAAAAAAAAAAAGAAAGAAATAATCCAGAAGTTGAGAAAAATCTGTAGGCACAAAAGTATTCACTAAAGCATTATTATAGTGAAAAATTGGAGAAAGTATAAATATCCAACAACAGAATAATAAATAAATAATGTTATATTAACTTGAAGAAATAATATAGTCATAAAATGAAAAATATGAAGAATGCAGCAAAATAGAAAAATAGATTAAGCTTCTAAAGTTAATTATGATTACAAACAAAAATAATGATGAAACTTGAAGTAATGAAGAGCTATTTTAGAGTGATGAGAAGATAGGTAATTTTTTCTTCTTAATATCTTTTAATACTATAATGTTAAAAACTGTAAAAACCAGAGGATACATGTGTGACTGTGTGAAGATAATCTGTTCTGCTCTGCAGTTTCTGCATCTGTATAACAAAGTTTGTGAGAAAGAAGAAAAGTAAGCTCATTAAAAAATAGAAAACTAATAAATAAACCCCAGGAAGGTTTTCTTGTTAGGTATTTCCCTTGCTAGAAAAGACCTCATCCTGGGCAAGCTTATCATTTCCTATCGTTCTTTGCTGGAGAATTCCATTTTCTAAGACAAGAATTCAGGAATCAAGGTGACAACAGTCTTTGCTCGATAGAATGTTTATATGTTATGTGGTCTCTTTTTTTATATGGCTTTGTACATCAGAAATTTTTAAGAAAGGTTTAGTTTTAATAAGACCTTATTATTGCTCTTGCCAAATTGTTCTCCTGACTTAATAGGTTACAGTGAAACATGATTAATATTTAATTAATAATTAAAATTTGATATTTAATTGATCAGAACGTGGTACTGATAACTAACAGTAATTGAGGCTAAGGACATACTTTGGCTTTATTTTCTTTTTAACCAGAAATTGTTTCCTGTCTTTACCTTAGAAGGTATAAATATAAAAATATAATAGTAATGAATTTACTAAAGATTGGTCCATGATTGTTCTTAATTAATATTTCTGTAGAAATAGAATTCTGGTAGAAATTTTGCACCACATATTGTACTCTTAGTATCTGTTACCCTGTAATACATGTTATCTTTTTATATGTATGTCCTATCTCCTAAATTAGATAGTAATTTCTTGAACATAGAAGTCCCCACTACCCCAAACAATGTCTGCTCAGTATTAGGCACCAAGCTGCATGTTTGCAGCCTGTGATCACTCAAAGATTGTCATCATAACCATTGATATATATGCTTGTCCTGTGCCCCTCCCCTTGTCATCATTCATTTATTGTCTTATCAGCTAAACAGTGCTGGGTGCAAGGCACATTACTCATCTCTACCCTCATGGGACTTACATCCTAGAGGAAGGCATAGACATTGTATAACTAATAACACTGGGGGGAAAAAGTCCATTTACCATTTTGATAGATAGAAAAAAGGAGAAATGCAGAGTCTCTGTTGCAGGTGCACATGAACAGGGAACCCAGCCTAATCTGGAAAGGTTAGAGAAAGGCTTAGGAACCTTAGGAAGGCACACCCTGGTGTGCCAAGTGCTTGACCTTATTGCATCCTTTCCTACTACAACTGTGGAGCACAATTGTTACTATCTCCATTTCGCAGAATATGAAGTAGAGATTCGTGGAGGGTTCAATTGTTTAGCCAGGGTCATACTAGGATTTAGAAGTCAGAACCAAATACCCTGATTCCAAATCTCTTGCACTTTTTGCCAAGAGAGAAACCATTTACTTAAGGAAAGTTCGAACCTGTAAGATTTTTTTCCATCTTTTATTGACAGATATCTGATTGTTTTGAAAATTAACTTTTACTCTGAATTTTTTGTATTCTTTTTGGTGCCAGTAATTCTGAATGTAGGATAAAGCCTATCTTGGCATTTTCCTTGGCATTTCTTTTTAGCAAGTAGCTTATGTTTTGCTTTCCCTTTCATAGTCACCCTTACTCCAACCCCAGTCCGAGGAGCAGGAGATGGAATGGAAACTGAGGAGCCGCCTAAATCTGTTGAAGTTACCTCTGGAGTCCAACCCATAAAGCATCACATCCTTCAGAATCCACGGAAGAAAGCAGTTCCAGGGGAGAGCCCAGGAGTCCTTCAGCTCGGGAAGATTCTCACTGAAAAAGCAGTGGAAGTTGAAGCTGTAAGAATATTAGTTCCCAAAGCTGCTATAACTCATGATGTCCCCAACAAGAATGCAAAGGTAAAGTCTCTGGGACATCATAGAGGAGAACTCCTTGGTCAGTCAGAGGGAACTGTAGAACCCAGAAAGGAACTATCAGAGGTAAAGAATATATTGGAAAAGCTCAAGAACTCTGAAAGGAGGTTACTACAGGACAAAGAAGGTCTTTCAAACCAGCTCAGAGTCCAGACAGAGGTAAGAACAAATAGCTTTAATGAGCACTGCTCTTTACACTTGAACCATCTAAGCCTATGTGTTAGAAAACTATATTTCCTCTTGGAATGTCATTTATTTCGGCTTGTCATTTCTCTAAAAAGTTTCCTCTTAAATTTCTCTTTCTCTAGTAGAACTAGTATATGTTGGGAACTTAGCCTCTAAAGTTGAAGATGGAAGTATGAGGTACTTTGGACAAGACCACCTATAAGGTGTAAAAGAAGTCATAGTTATAAAATTCCAGATCAAAGACTGACCAAGTTAGACTTTGAAGTTACCTAGTTAACAATTCCTGTTTTAAGGATCCATAAGTTCCAAGTATTTTTGCTTATGCATACATAATACTTGGGATAAAGGGAATGGTGGGATAAGCATTGGTATCTTCATTGTAAATGGAAAATGATCTATGGTGCTTGGCTGTGTTTCTTTCATCTTTACATGTTAGTAAACATTGGCTTACTCCTCACCCTTTGTTTCTCTATTAGACCCGTCATCTTTTTGCTAGATGTCAGTCTTTATAAGTGACACTATAGTTAGTGGTTCTTATCCAGCTATATCTTTAATATTTTTTAAATAACTAATTTCTAATTACAAAAATAGTATTTATTTGTAAATATTTTTAGAAATACAAAAAATGAAAATAGTACCAACTATAATTATACCATCTAGCTATAAATGCATGATTATACACATTGAGTTCATTTTTGCCTTTTTATTTTTTTTTTTATTTTTTATTTTTTTTTAAAGATTTTATTTATTTGACAGCGAGAGAGGGAACACAAGCAGCGGGAGTGGGAGAGGGAGAAGCAGGCTTCCCGCGGAGCAGGGAGCCCGATGCGGGGCTCGATCCCAGGACCCTGGGATCATGACCCGAGCTGAAGGCAGACGCTTAACGACTGAGCCACCCAGGCGCCCCTTTTTAAATATTTTCCTATGTCACAGAATATTCTATTACAATATCATTTTTAATACCAACAGTGTTCTTCTATTGCTACACCATATATCAATACCTATTATTGGACATTTATGTTTTAATTTTTCACTTTTTAGATAAAGTAAAGAACATGCTTATAGATATGCTAAATTGCTTCCTTTGCTGAAGTTCTATGTATGGCACAGCGGTATGTGGGTGGTTCAGTCAGTTAAGCATGGGACTCTTGATTGACTCCTTCCAGCTCAGGGCCATGAGATCAAGCACCACGTCGGGCTCCACACTGGAAGTGGAGCCTGCTTAAGATTCTCTCTTTCCTTCTTCCTCTACCCCTCACTGCTCGTACTCTCTTTTTCTCTCTCGCTCTAAAAAAAAAAAGAAATCCTGTGGCACTTTAAATACTGAAAAAGATCTAAAAAACATTAAAACATTCTCAGTCATATTTTTTGGCAAAATTTATTGGTTTGGTTTTCTAATTTTTTGCCTTCAAGTATTGACTAGAAGCAGTTTGTAACTTTTGTGATAATGGTTGGTACTCTTACTAGAAGAGGCTCGGTTTATAATCACATGGACTGTAGATATAAATATGTAGACATAGAGACAGATGGTTTATATAGATTATGAAACTTAAATATTTAATATTGCTTTTTGATATACACTTTAAGTAATGGAGGTCCGTATACATGAAGCACGGTTTCTCTTTTTTCATTTTGCTACATTAAAGCCACTGACATTACTTTAAGTTGGTTGTAACGGTCATATTTTCTTCTAGGTCAATCGAGAGTTAAAAAAGTTGCTAGTGGCTTCTGTTGGGGATGATCTTCAGTATCATTTTGAACGTCTAGCCCGTGAGAAAAATCAGCTTATTTTAGAAAATGAAGCCCTAGGTCAAAACACAGCTCAACTTTCTGAACAGCTGGAACGTATGTCAATACAGTGTGACGTATGGCGGAGCAAATTCCTCGCAAGCAGGTATTTTCTGTTTTAAATAATATTTCATTTCCTAGCTTTTTCACGATCAGATTTTTTACCGTAACCCAAGAAAGTAAATGGTAGTGTGAGAATTTCTGACTCCGATTGTCGAAGTACTTCATAGATTTATAAGTATGTATGGATTGTCCTTCCTGTGGAGAGTCACACCATCTCCCTAAATGGAAAAGTGGTATCATAGGATTCTCCCTCATTCCAGAATTCTAGGTTAATCCTCTATAGTAGAAATCACTCCTACTACAATGTTTAGGAAACAAAATTCAACTCAGACCTCTTATAAATAAAATAAATAAAATCACAAAAAAAACCCACACTATTTTCCCCACCTTCTATCTGGAAAACTCAAATATTGTTTCTCTTCCGTGCTCTGTTCTCATAGCTCTTTTAACTGTATTAACTATATAAGAGAGCTTCCCAACCTTTTTCTGTCCATGCACAAACAGAAAATTATTTGTACGGCATCCTGGATGAGGCTACTCTCCAAGAGAGGTGAAACCCCCAGAACCCTCACCTAGGCCCACAGGTACAGTGGTAGTTGGGAAACTCTGCTATATATTGTGATTTGGGGTCTATTTATCCCCCTCCTTCCAGCTCTGACTGGAGAACAGGGTCTGTGTGTTATCCATCTTTGTATTTCCAGTGCTTAGCCACATGCTTCACACATAGCTTAGTAACTGTTGATTTAAATTCAGTGATCTAGAGATTTCTTACATAGCACCAGACGTTTCCAGGCTGTACTTTAAGAATCACTGATAGTGATGAATAAATTTGTAGGAAAGTATTTCTTCATGTCTTGATGTCTGTGATACTTTCCAGTAATTGATTACTCTCTTAAAGTTCTTAATTGTTTTCTAATTGTGCTTTTATAGGATGGATATGGAGAAAGGAATGTACTGTTTATTGACTTCGAATGAAAGTTCATGCTCACTGAACACATTAAGAGGCAAATCATGCATGTGTCATACAGATTATTGCAATATGTAACTTTCTTAACATCCTTATCAATACTGATAGTAACAGTCTAAGGGCAATAAAACTTAAACTCAACTTTAAAGATATTTTAACTGATTTAATCTTTGGTCAGTAATTATTATGGTCCAAGACTTTAATTTTAGTTTTAAGAGTTTTAAGCTGAATAAGAATACTTTAAAACTTTTCTTCAATTCTGTTAATAAAGAACAGGTTAAATAAATTTTGGAATATCCAATCAGAAGAAAACATGAAGCTGTTGTTTTTTAAAAGGAGAAATAGCTCTATATATGTTAATGTAAAAAAAAAAACAAGATTATTAGATGAAAAAAACAAGGCATAGAAAATTTTGTATTAAATAATCCCTTTCTTGTAAATAAAATGGATATGTTTATTTTTAACATGTACTTTTATGTTGACATATCCATAAAATTTTTTTTTTCCTAGAGAAATATATAAGAAACTCGATTGGTTATTTTATTGGTTTATACAAGAAGGATGGGGATGCTGGACAGGAGGAAAGACTTAGTTTCCCTTTTATATAAGCCTTTTTATATTATTTAATATTTTTCTAAGGACAAGAAGGTAACTGAGTGATAAGAAAGCAACTCTTTTTTGTTTTCCTCTAAAATTTCCTGTATTTAAAAACATTTAATTAGCAGAGCTTCCAGGACCGGCAGAAACTGAAAGAACATATAAGCCGGCCCTGCAAGAAATATTAAGGGGGGTTCTATAAAAGGAGAAAGACCCCAAGAGTGGTACAGAACAGAAATTTACAGAGACAATCTATAAAAACAAGGGCTTCATAGGCAACATGATGAAAACAAATTCGTATCTTTCAGTAATCACTCTCAACATGAACAGCCTAAATGCTCCCATAGGGTTGCAGATTGGATAAAAAGATAGGACCCATCCATATGCTGCCTACAAGAGACTCATTTTGAACCTAAAGATACATCCAGACTGAAACCAAAGGGATGGAGATCCATCTTCCATGCCAGCAGATCTCAAAAGAAAGCTGGGGTAGCAATTCTTATATCAGACAAATTAGATTTTAAACTAAAGTCTGTAATAAGAGACACAGAAGGACACTATATCATTCTTAAAGTGTCTATCCAACAAGAAGATCTAACAATTGTAAATATCTATGCCTCCAACATGGGAGCAGCCATCTACATAAGCCAACTGTTAACCAAAATAAAGAGTTATATTGATAACAATATGTTAAGTGTAGGAGATCTCAGTACTCCACTCTCAGCAATGGACAGATCATCTAAGCAGAAAATCAACAAGGAAACAAGAGCTCTGAATGATACATTGGACCAGATGGACCTCATAGATATTTACAGAACATTCCACCCTAAAACAACAGAATACTCATTCTTCTCGAGCGCACATGGAACTTTCTCCAGAAGAGACCATATACTGGGTCACAAATCAGGTCTCAACCGATACCAAAAGATTGAAATTATTCCCTGCATATTCTCAGACCCTAATGCTTTAAAACTGGAACTTAACCACAAGAAAAAATTGGAAGAAATTCAAACACTTGGAAGCTAAAGACCACTCTGCTCAAGAATGTTTGGGTCAACCAGGAGATCAAAGAAGAACTTAAACAATTCATGGAAACCAATGAGAATGAAAACCTATGGGATACTGCAAAGTCCTAGGGGGAAATACATAAGTCATCCAACCCTCACTCAAAAAAACAGAAAAATCCCGAACTCACCAACTAACTTTACACCTTAAAGAACTTGAGAAAAAGCAACAAATGCCTAAGCCACGTGTTAGAAGAGAAATAATTATTAGAGCAGAGATCAATGAATTAGAAACCAGAAACACAGTAGAGCAAATCAACGAAACTAGAAGCTGGTTCTTTGAAAGAATTAATAAGATCAGTAAACCACTGGCCAGATGTATCCAAAAGAAAAGAGAAAGGACCCAAATTAATAAAATTATGAATGAAAGGAGAGAGATCACAACTAACACCAAGGAAATAGAAACAATTATTAGAAATTATTATCAACAACTATATGCCAATAAAATAAGCAACCTGGAAGAAATGAATGTCTTCCTGGAAACCTATAAACTCTCAAGACTGAAATAGAAAGAGATAGACAACCTGAATAGACCAATAACCAGTAATGAAATTGAAGCAGTGATGAAAAACCTCCCAAAAAACAAAAGTGTCCAGGGCCTGATGGATTCCCTGGGGAATTCTACCAATATTCAAAGAAGAAATAATACCTATTCTCCAGAAGCTGTTTCAAAAGAAATAGAAACAGAAGGAAAGCTTCCAGACTCATTCTATGAGGCCAGCATTACCTGAACCCCAAACCAGGCAAAGACCCCATCAAAAAAGAATTTCAGACTGATATCCCCGATGAATATGGATTCCAAATCCTCAACAACATGCTAGCTAATAGGATCCAACAATACATTAAAAGGATCATCCACCACGAACAAGTGGGATTTATCCCTGGGATGCAAGGGTGGTTCAACATTCGCAAATCAATCAGTGTGATAGAACACATTGATAAGAGGAGAGAGAAGAATGATATGGTCCTCTCAGTTGATGCACAAAAAGCATTTGACAAAAGGCAACATCCTTTCCTCATTAAAACTCTTCAGAGTATAGGGATAGAGGGAACATTCCTCAAGTTCATAAAATCCATCTATGAACAACCCACAGCAAATATCATTCTCAATGGGGAATAGCTGGGAGCCTTTCCCTTAAGATCAGGAACACGTCAAGGATGCCCACTCTCGCCACTATTGTTCAACATAGTACTAGAAGTCCTAGCAACAGCAATCACAATAAAAAGAAATAAAAGGTATTCAAATTGACAAAGAAGTCAAACTCTCTCTCTTCACAGATGACATGATACTTTATGTGGAAAACCCAAAGCCTCCACCCCCAAATTACTAGAACTCATACAGCAATTCAGTGATGTGGCAGGATACAAAATCAATGCACAGAAATCAGTTGCTTTCTTATACACTAATGCAACTGTAGAAAGAGAAATTAGAGAAACGATTCCATTTACAATAGTACCAAAAGCCGTAAGATACCTCAGAATAAATCTAACCAAAGAGGTAAAGGATCTATACTCTAGGAACTACAGAACACTCATGAAAGAAATTGAAAACACAAAAAGATGGAAAAACATTCCATGCTCATGGATCAGAAGAATAAACATTGTTAAAGTGTCGATGCTGCCCAGAGCAATCTGTACCTTCAGTGCCATCCCGATCAAAATACCAATGGCATTTTCCAAAGTGCTGGAAAAAACGATCTTAAAATTTGTATGGAATCAGAAAAGACCCCGAATCACCAAGGAAATGTTGAAACAGAAAAAAAACAGAGTTGGGGGCATCACGTTGCCTGATTTCAAGTTATATTACAAAGCTGTGATCACCAAGACAGCATGGTACTGGCACAAAAACAGACACATAGATCAATGGAACAGAATAAAGAGCCCAGATATTGACCCTCAACTCAATGGTCAAATAATCTTTGACAAAGCAGGAAAAAATATGCAATGGAAAAAAGTCCATCTCTTCAATAAATGGTGCTGGGAAAATTGGACAGCTATATACAGAAGAATGAAACTCGACCAGCCTCTTACACCATACATAAAGATAAACTCAAAATCAATGAAAACTCAATGTGAGACAGGAATCCATCCAAATCCTAGAGGAGAACATAGGCAGTAACTTCTTCGACATCGGCCACAGCAACTTCTTTCAAGACATGTCCCCAAAGGCAAGGGAAACAAAAGCAAAAATGAACTTTTGGGACTTCATCAAGATAAAAATCTTCTGCACAGCAAAGGAAACAGTCAACAAAACAAAGAGGCAACGCACGGAATGTGAGAAGGTTTTTGCAAGTGACACTACAGACAAAGGGCTGATATCCAAGGTCTATAAAGAACTTCTCAAATTCAACACCCAAAAAACAAATAAGTCAAAAAGTGGGCAGAAGATATGAACAGACACTTCTCCAAAGAAGACATACAAATGGCCAACAGACACATGAAAAAATGTTCATCATCATTAGCCATCATGGAAATTCAAATCAAAACCACATTGAGATACCACCTTACACCAGGTAGAATGGCAAAAATTGACAAGGCAAGAAACAACAAATGTTGGAGAGGTTGTGGAGAAAGGGGAACCCTCTTACACTGTTGGTGGGGGTGCAAGTTGGTACAGCCACTTTGGAAAACAGTGTGGAGATTCCTCAAAAAATTAGAAATAGAGCTACCCTATGACCCAGCAATTGCACTGCTGGGTATTTACCCCGCAGATGTAGTGAAAAGAAGGTCCATAAGCACCCCAGTGTTCATAGCAGCAATGTCCACAATAGCCAAACTGTGGAAAGAGCTGAGATGCCCTTCAACAGACAAGTGGATAAAGAAGATGTGGTCCATATATACAGTGGAATATTACTCAGCCATCAGAAAGGATGAATACCCAACTTTTGCATCAACATGGATGGGACTGAAGGAGATTATGCTAAGTGAAATAAGTCAAGCAGAGAAAGTCAATTATCATATGGTTTCACTTATTTGTGGAAAATAAGGAATAGCATGGAGGACATTAGGAGAAGGAAGGGAAAAATGAAGGAAGGGAAATTGGAGGGAGAGACGAACCATGAGAGACTATGGACTCCGAGAAACAAACTGAGGGTTCTAGAGGGGAGGAGGGTGGGGGGATGGGTTAGCCCAGTGATGGGTGTTAAGGAGGGCACGTATTGCATGGAGCAGTGGGTGTTATATGCAAACAATGAATCATGGAACGCTACATCAAAACCTAATGATGTACTACTGTGTAGTGACTAACATAATAAAATTTTTAAAAAGTTAAAAATAAATTAAAAATAAAAAAATAAATATAAAAACATTTAATCAATGTTAATTTTTTCAAAATTTGGTCAACCTAGAGTTAGATTGAGGTACATTCCAAAAGTCACTCTATAGGAAAGTTAAATAACTTCTTCTTTGTCATTTTGTAAACAAATATTTTTTAAATCCCTTCAACGAGTTCTAAGATCATAAACATTTTAAATGCTTTTTAGTGAAGATTTAAAAATGGAGAAGTAACTTGACTGTGTTCAGTCTTCTTCGTAAGCTTTTGAAAATGAAAATGAAGTATATTAACTTCTTTACAGTGTGTTACTGTCAGAGAATTTATATGTGATTTTTTCATCTTTTCCAGGGTAATGGCAGATGAGTTAACCAGTTCCAGAGCAGGATTGCAGCGTCAAAACCGCGATGCACAGAGTGCTATTCAAGATCTCCTGAGTGAACGGGAACAGTTTCGTCAGGAAATGATAGCTACCCAGAAGTATGGCATTTGTTTACATTCTGACCCCTTCTTTCTCTTGCAATTTTTGTTACTGTGATAGTTCTTTAGTGTTTCTACATTTAATAACTTTTATTGAGCATATTCTTCAAATAGCATTTTAAAATAGATGCCCAGAGAGGGAAGAAGACCAAAAAAAAATAAGACTACATGCTTCTTATGTTCTTAATTGAGAGAGAAATAATTATAGCTATAATAGAAGAAATCTCTGGGTTTAAAAGTAGTTTTTGGTTATAGTTATAGCAGTTTTGTATAATTTTTGGTAAAAGCCAAAAAGTATACCTATCTTTCCTTTGGAAGGAGATCTTTTTAAGGACTATTCTACAGTATTAGAGTTTACTTTCAGGCACTCCAGAACTTCTTTTAAGGAAGAACATCAATTTATACTTCTATACACAGATCTTCCTCGACTTATAATGGGGTGGCATCCCAATAAACTCATTGCAAGTTGAAAATATCATAAGTCAAAAATTAATTCAATATACCTAGCCTACTGAACATCATGGCTTAGCCTAGCCTACCTTAAACATGCTCCTTACATTAGCCTGTACTTGGGCAAAATCATCTCATACAAAGCCTATCCTATCATAGAGTGTTGAATATCTCAGTAATTGAACACTGCACTGAAAATGAAAAACAGAATGGTTGTACAGGTACAAAACTGTTGTATCGGTTGTTTACCCTCATGATCATGTAGCTTGCTAGGAGCTGTGGCTTTCTCCCACTGTCCAGCAACATGAGAAATATGGTACTGCATATTGCTAGACCAGAAATAGATAAAAATTCAAAATTCAAAGTACAGTTTTTATTCAATGTTAATCACTTTCACACCGTCATTAGTCAAAAAGTCATTCACCGAACCATCATAAGTCAAGGCCTATAATTGATTTATTACAAATCAAATCAGTAAGAGTTGAAGAAATCACGGGAAATTATAAGAATAAAAACATAATACAGATGACCCTCGAACAACACAGGGGTTGGGGAGGCTGACCCTCCCTGCAGTTGAAAATTCTTGCATAACTTTTGACTCCCGCAAAAATGTACCTACTTACAGCTTACTCTTGACCAGAAGTCTTACCAATAATATAAATAGTTGGGCGCCTGGGTGGCTCAGTTGGTTAAGCGACTGCCTTCAGCTCAGGTCATGATCCCAGGGTCCTGGGATCAAGTCCCGCATCGGGCTTCCTGCTCTGCAGGGAGCCTGCTTCTCCCTCTCCCACTCCCCCGCTTGTGTTCCCTCTCTCGCTGTGTCTCTCTCTGTCAAATAAATAAATAAAATCTTTAAAAATATATATATAATATAAATAGTTAACACATATTTTATATGTTCTACATATTATATAGTACATTCTTAACAATAAAGTAAGCTAGAGAAAATAAATTGTTACTAAAATCATAAGGAAGAGAAAAAATAAACTAAAATCATAAGGAAGAGAAAATACATCTACGGCACTATACTGTATTTATCAAAAAAAATCGGCCTTTAAGTGGACCCACATAGTTCAAACCCATGTTGTTCAAGGGTAAACTGTATATCAAAATATCAGATTTCGTGGGAGGCAACTAAAGCAGTGTTTAGAGGGAAATTTATAGCTTCTTTAAATGCTCATAGTAGAAAATAAAGGTCTTGTTGGTAATATAAGCTTCATCTTTAAGAAACGCAAAGAGCAAATTAAGCAGACAAAAGAAAATAATAAGAATGGGAGCAGAAATAATGAAATAGAAAGCCAAATGCTGGTTCTTTGAAGAGATAAATTTAAGAAACCTCTAGGCAGTATGATCGGGAAAAAAAAAAAAAAAACAACCCCAAAGGAATGAGGAGTGGGTATTTCACGTAGACTCTATAGACATAAAAAGATGATTAAGGGGATACTATGAAGAACTCTGTGCCAGTAAATTCAACACCTTAAATGAAATGGACAGAGTGCTTAAAAGACATTAAACTACCAAAGGGTACTCAAGACAAAGAGCCTGAATAGCCTGACCTATTAAAGCAATTGAATTTTTAGTTAAAAACCATTCAACCCACAGAATGGGAGAAGATATTTGCAAATGACACTACAGACAAAGCACTGATTTCGAAGATCTATAAAGAAGTTCTCAAACTCAACACCCAAAAAAACAAATAATCAAGTCAAAAAATAGGCAGAAGACATGAACAGACACTTCTCCAAAGAAGACATACAAATGGCTAACAGACACATGAAAAAATGTTCATCATCATTAGCCATCATGGAAATTCAAATCAAAACCACATTGAGATACCACCTTACACCAGGTAGAATGGCAAAAATTGACAAGGCAAGAAACAACAAATGTTGGAGAGGTTGTGGAGAAAGGGGACCCCTCTTACACTGTTGGTGGGAATGCAAGTTGATACAGCCACTTTGGAAAACAGTGTGGAGATTCCTCAAAAAATTAAAAATAGAGCTACCCTATGACCCAGCAATTGCACTCCTGGGTATTTACCCCAAAGACACAGATGTAGTGAAAAGAAAGGCCATAAGCATTCCAGTGTTCATAGCAGCAATGTCCGCAATAGCCAAACTGTGGAAAGAGCCGAGATGCCCTTCAACAGATGAATGGATAAAGAAGATGTGGTCCATATATACAGTGGAATATTACTCAGCCATCAGAAAGGATGAATACCCAACTTTTGCATCAACATGGATGGGACTGGAGGAGATTATGCTAAGTGAAATAAGCAGAGAAAGTCAATTATCATATGGTTTCACTTATTTGTGGAAAATAAGGAATAGCATGGAGGACATTAGGAGAAGGAAGGGAAAAATGAAGGAAGGGAAATTGGAGGGAGAGACGAACCATGAGAGACTATGGACTCCGAGAAACAAACAGGGTTTTAGAGGGGAGATAGGTTGGGGGATGGGTTAGCCCGGTGATGGGTATTAAGGAGAGCACGTATTGCATGGAGCACTGGGTGTTAGATGCAAACAATGAATCATGGAACACTACATCAAAAACTAATGATGTATTGGGGCACCTGGGTGGCTCAGTCGTTAAGCGTCTGCCTTCGGCTCAGGTCATGGTCCCAGGGTCCTGGGATCGAGCCCCGCATCGGGCTCCCTGCTCTGCGGGAAGCCTGTTTCTCCCTCTTCCTCTCCCCCTGCTTGTGATCCTGCTCTCACTGTGTCTCTCTCTGTCAAATAAATAAATAAAATCTTTAAAAAAAAAAAAAAAACTAATGATGTATTGTATGGTGACTAACATCACCTAATAAAATTAAATTAAATTAAAAAAAATAATAATAACCTTTCAATAAAGAAAACTCCAGGCATAAATGGATTTACTGAAGGATACTAGCAAACAACTAAGGAAAACATAAAGCCAAATTTACAAAAACTCTTCTAGAAAACAGGAGAAGGAAATAATTTCCAACTGACTTTATGAGGCAGCATTATCTTGATACCAAAACCAGACAGAGATATTACAAGAAAACTACAGACCGGTATTTCCAATGAACATAGATGCAAAAGTCCTAATCCAACAATATATAAAAAGAAGATATATATATCCTTATACATCATGGCCAAATATATTTTATCCTAGGGTTTGTAAGTTGGTTTATCATTCAAAAATCCGTTAATGTAACTCATGAAAAAACACATAATAGATACACAAGTCAGATCAATTACTACTACTACTACTACTACTACTACTACTACTACTAATACAATCCTATTACTACTAGATGAGTATATTAGTATATTTTACCTGTACTAAAATATGAGAACTAAAAAAAGTACTGTTTGGGGCACCTGGGTGGCTCCGTCAGAAGTACTGTTTGTTGAATGACTCCCAGATAATTACCTGATAAATATATAAATGCTTTCTGTAGTCTTATTTTACCAGAATTCCCAATTTATTGAACTCTGAGAAAAAGATATAGGAGAAAGATACTATGTAGATCCTTTTGTAGTTCATAAGCGTGATGATTGGGTGTTCACGTCGTTGTGTGACGTACCTCCCTCAAACCTTGTTACAACCTCGGCACATTACCCCTCTGACGTGAAAAAAAGAAAAAAAGAGATACTATGTGATTTGTGAAGAATTTCAGGTTTCTCATTTATTGAGTATTCTTGATTTTCATGTTTTATCCTCTTATTAATATTCAGTGTTCCTGTGTGTTCTGTGCAGATTATTGGAGGAGCTCCTGGTGTCCTTGCAGTGGGGAAGAGAGCAAACTTACTACCCTAGTACACAGCCTCACACCACAACAGAACTAGCATTAAAAAATCACAAGTTGGCAAAAGCTGTAAATGCTCATCTTCTGGGAAATGTTGGCACTAACGGTCAAAAAAAGATTCCATCAACGGTTGAATTCTACAGCACCCCAGCAGAAAAAATGGCTGAAACGGTAAAATATTTCTCTTTTCTGGACTGTGGAACTTCTAAGACTGTCCTCTTACTCAAAGGTGGTATGTTATAATGCAAAGTGCTTGGCATTAGGAGTTAGGAATTATGGGATCTAAACCTGATTCTCGTGCTAATGAGCTTGTGATCTTGGAGAAAATTGTTTCCTCATCCGTGCTTTAATTCCTGAAACATTTTTTACTCTGTCCTTAAGGAGCAAATTAGTTGTTTTGAAAGGGCCTGTCTTTTAGCTACTGAATCAGTGATAATCTTGTACTTGAGTTCATTGTGATATGAAAATTAGTGTAGAATTTTTAATTCAACAATCATGAGTAGATAATAGATTACTTCTGACATCAGAAATTATTTGTTAATACCCATATATAGATATGAATGTGCCAAATGCTGCAGAATCAAATAGTGTACCCCTGGTACCTACAGTCCTGGGTGAATTCAGGGTTCATGCCGATGAGCTGTCAAATGCTGTGGTCTCCCGGTTCTACGGGCACAGCCAAGGTCACCTCCATACATTTCAGTATCTGACTCCTATCTCCCTGTCTTAGGCTTTGTCATTAACCAGAACTATTCCACTTTTAAAATCAACTCAACACCTCTCTCCACGATCTGTGCTCTCAACTTTTTTTCCAGCCCCTATTCTTTATTCTGATTACCCCTGTGATCACATAATTTTTATTCCCTTGATCACTACATTTTTTTTCATCTGAGCAGCTCACTCTCCTGGCTTCTTTTCCTGCCGTAGCTTGCCTAGATTTCATTCTTAGGTGTCTTTTTCCCTTATCATCCTTCTCTCAGGTACCCTGAACACTTCAGTCCTTTGTCAGTTCAGCTGCTTGCCTTCTTTGTTTCTGTACTTGTCAAACTATGACCTCACATTCAGCAAATGATTTCGGTTCCTAGTTCACAGAAAAAGAAGGCAGGGGCAGAAAATTTCTTCGAAATTCCACTTGCTATCTAGAAGCCTACCTGTGTGGCAACCAGTCTTATATACATTTCTCTCACTGGAAGAGGTGTCTCTCCTCTCCAAGGCTCAGCTCCCCTCCAGGTTCAGCAGGCCTCCCCAGAGCATCCTTTCTGTCTGTCAGCTCTTTCTTCTTTGGCTTATAACACGCCCAGGTGTCTTCCATCTAAAAAAGAAAAATCTTCCCTCTATCCTAAGTTCTCTGATAAGGCCTTATCACCTTTATAGGTGAGAACCTTGGGACAGACTGTGCACACTTGTATGTACTCCCATACCATCCGTTCCTCAGGTCCTGCCATCACTTACCCGGTGGCCTTCCAGCTCCACTGTTCTCAAATCATGCTCGTATAAAGGTCATTAATGTTGAAATACTTTATTACCATATTTTATGTATCAGCACTCCGTCCTTGATATCCCCTTGACTTCTGTGACCTTACTCTTTCTTGGCCCTCTCCTACTCCCTCTCAGAACTCTTCTTCATCACCTTTTTTCCTCCTTTAAGTGTTGTTGTTCCATAGGAATCTGCTCCCCATGCTTTTCAGACTCCCTTAGTTTCTGCAACACTACACGGCCGGCTACTCACTGCTTCTCTGACCATTCTTTTTCAGAATTTGGCAGAGGGTGAGGCATCCTCCTCCCAGGCCCACTCTTGAGCCTTTCCTCTCATAACAACTTCCTAGATTCTCTAGGGACAATCCTAGTCCTGGTAGTTTTATGCTTGGGACTTCAACTGAGACATTTTTTTCTGGGTTCAAGAGACATACCCAGCGTGACATCTCCATATGCACATCTCAGACAGCTAAAAATAGAACAACCTCTCTCCTCCTTGCTTTTACATCTGTATTTCCCCTTCCCTCAAAAAGAAGAAAAAAACCCACTTCTCTTCTACTCCCTATCTTAGTGAACTATACCACTATATAGATGTTTCGAGGATTTCATAAAATTAATGCATATAAAGCTCATAGCAGATTCTAATATATAGTAATTTCTCAATAAATGGTAGATACCATTTTTATTTTATTTTCTTCCATCCCATAATCCTGTTGGTTTTACAAATCCTGTAAAAAGTAGGATTTGTAAAAGAGGGTAAATTTACCCTCTTCTAAGTTCACACACCTACCCTCCAGCCTTAATTATTGCAGTAGCCTCTTCACCAGTATTGACCCCTTGCTTTTTACCTACCTCCAGACCATCCTCTGTTGCCAGACAGTTATTTTTAAAATGCCAGTCCAAAAAAAAGGAAAAAGTCAATCCACTTGTGTTGGTACTCCTGTTCAGACAGATGCCAGTCTCCCTCATTATGGAATCTCAATTCTTTCATATTGAATAGAAAGCTTTAAAATCTTTATTCCATCTTCTCTTCCCAAGGTTATTAGCCAGGTGTCCCCACCCCCTGCTCTTCAAATCCCAGCAGCATTAACCACTTTTCACTGCACAGACGTGCCACTATATCTCAAGCCTCTGTTCATACTTACTTCTGCCCAGACTGCCCTCCCAGCACCTCTCTGCCTTTAAGAATCAGCCCTCCCTGAAGCTCACTGGCAAACTTAGAGGGTCCTTTCCCCAGGCTTCCATTGTGTTTTGTGCATTTATCTATTGTAGCTCTTTATCATGTTAAATTGCAGTTGTTTGATTCCCCACCCCCCCAAACTGTAAGCCCCTTAAGGGTGAGGACTGTATTTTATGTTTCCTCAAGGTCTGGCATAGTAATCCTTTACACATAGTAGGTGCTCAGCTATTTACATAATGAATCAGTACCCGGTTGAGTTTATCCTTTCCGTTCTCCTTGTTGGGAAACTGTCCTTGCCTCCTTGGTTGCTGCCAGTAGCATGTGGTATAATTGACTGCCCCACCTTTCTTGAAACACTCCCTTCTCTTGGCTTCCATAACTGCACACCCTCCTGGCTTTTCTCTTTTTTCTGACCATTCTGTTTTACTGTGCGATATTGGGTATCCTCAGGGCTTGGTCTAGATCCCCTTTTCCCGATCCTTTATCCACCACATTCTCTTAGTGAACATAACTGACAGTCCTACTTTCTTAGGGTCTCTTGAGCCTTTCAGCCCATTGCTTCAAGGTTATCATTTCTTAGCTAGATTACTGCAGTAAACTCCCTTTCTTTGTTCTTCCCTTGTCTGCTTTTAATGCCTGCCCTTTCCCCTATCTTCCAACTGTGTACAGCATGATTTCTCTGAAAGGTACCCTGCTTAAATCCTTCCGCATTAATTCCAGGCTAAAATCTAGAAACCTGTCTGTACTGGTATCTCCGTCTCCTTCCACTGTACTCCTTCGGTATTTTCTCTCTCTCTCTACAGACATAGAATGTACTAGCATATAGAGAGTATTTCCATACCCTCTAGCATCCAACCAAATTTTACAAAAAATAGATCTCAAAAATTCAATGGAAAAAACCTCAATATATTTGCAAAACAGAGGTCCTAAAATAGAATGCTGGCTCTTAAATAGTGCCAGGATGTTCTTAAATTAGCTGTAAGTCTTTGGGTATGGTAGTAACTTAGAAGGAAAAAACACTGCTGGACAACATGAGAGTGAGAGAAACAAGCATATCCAACCATATCTGAAAGCTCCTTATGTAAGGCATCGGCTTACATAAAAAAAAAAAGTTCTTTCCCCCGCTGCTTTTCACAGTTCCTTTCCAACCGTAGTGCCTACCTCATTTGCACCATAACCCATCCTCCTCATGGGATGATCGTTGAGAGAATATAAACATAAGAAACAGGAGCTTTGAATAAGCATGTTATCTTTGCCCTTAACTGGAGCATTTTTTTCAACCCAACAGTTCCTCATGTTGTGGGTCTCAGTCAGGGAAACAGCAGAACAAGTCAGAGCAGAAGAATTAGGAAAGCATGGTGTCCATGAAATCCAAGAAACAAGAACATGATTGTTAGCATAAAATATGGCATATACATTAGAAATAGAGAAATGAAAAGCTATTGATTTTACAATCAATTAAAAACTTTGAAATAGGATTTCATTAAAAGAATGCAGAATCCTGATTCCAGGCAGTTGAATGAAAGATCCATAGAGGGGAGGTGGTGGGTGTTTTTTGGTTAAGGATAAAAATTGACATCACTTAAGGTAGAACTGATATAACCTTATTTTTTTTCTGTGTTTTCATGCTTTTTCACCAATATCCATAAAAGAACATTAATTTCATCATTTTTGAAAAATAGGTAACCTAGGTAATATAATAGTCATTGTTAAATTTAGAGCTTTTTGGAAAAGGGATAAGTTCTCTAACCAATCAAACTCATCACTGAGATGTTATTTTTTATGGTAGTTACATATTAATGAAATGGGGCTTTATAGGTAGTTTTACATCAATAAAACCAAGGGTTTTTAGAGTCCCTAAGGCATACATCTGACATTACTTCTTATTTTCCTTAGGTTCTACGCATTTTGGATCCAGTTACCTGTACAGAAAGCTCACCTGATAATCCATTTTCTGAGTCTTCACCAACTGCCTTACTTGCTACAAAGAAAAATATTGGACGATTTCATCCCTATACTAGATATGAAAATATAACTTTCAATTGCTGCAATCACTGCCAGGGAGAACTTATTGTCCTTTAACATTCAATATGTTGGAGGCATGCTACAGGCCCTTGCTTCTTACCCAAGAGTCATTATTATTTGGGAGCTGGAGTTCTTACAATGGTAGAATGTCACTTTCTATTTAAGTAATATATATCCCCAACAATGTTTCATGTACTGGACCACAGATTACCCTTTCTTAATAAATACCTCAGGATAAGAAAAGAATGAAACCGTGTAGATATATTTAAAGTAGATGATAGTTTCCAGGCATACATGATACTTTTCCTAAAGGACTCTGAAAGAAAAAGATCCTACCTTTATTTTAGGCCCTAAGTTATATCTTGCTGTGTGTTTAACATGAGCAGATTTAATTGTGGTACTCTAATGCAGGGTGGGTCATATGCAGCTACAGCCATTCATTTACTGTTGTCTATGGTTGTTGGGTTTGGGGTTTTTTGGCACTACAGCAGAATTGAATAGATGCACAGGGCTTGTTTGGCCTGCAAAACTTAAAATATCCTATCTGGCCCTTTACGGGAAAATTTTTCTGGCCCCCACTCTAAAGGAATAATAGCTGGCAGGGGGATGGGTGAAGGGAGTGTCCATTCCCTTTTTGGTGATTTATTTTGGACTACAAAGGCAGCTTGTGGAAATACTATGGGTGAAGGGACTAATATTTTAAAACTAAATGCTGTATGTTAGGAAAATTATAAGTATTTTATAGCCACATTATCAAGTGTTTCAGCAAAACGTATTCTCATGTTGGTTTTATGTGGGGAATTCCATAGTTCGAATGGATACAACTTGACATATATAAAAGAAATAGATTTTACTGAGCTCGTTTTGACAAATGCAACACAATAGGAATATCCAATTTGATATAAAATGAGAAAGTAGGATCCTTCTAGAACATTGTACAAACGCCAAATGCAATCCATTATTAATTTATATTAATATATATTATTGTTTATGTGGACCATCATAAAACACCCTTTTATAAGCCTTTTAAAATATCCACAATATGTTTATACCAAATTACACTATATTAGTTGCAGAATTGCCTATTAAAAGAGAAATCTAAAGACAAATCTGGTGAAAAAACATATTTTAATGTCAACCTAATGAGTTTTTTGTCTGATTCATCTAAGTTAAACTTTGAAATGGCAATAAATTTCTCTACATTCTTTATTTTGAATATTGATTTAATGTGCTTTTCAAGTCTTCATCTAACTTACACTATTTATAATTGATTCTTCAGCCTTTCCTTTGGGTTTACTTTGTATAAAACTTAGAAGAAAACAGGGGAAAATCTTCATGACATTGGATTTGGCAATGATTTCTTGGATATGGCACCAGGAGCACAGACAACAAAAGAAAAAAATGGATAAATTGAACTTCATCCAAATTAAAAACATTTGTACACCAAAGGACACTATCCACAGAATGAAAAGGCAACCTACAGAATGGAGAAAATATTTGCAACTTATATGGTTTATAAGGGTCTAGTGTCTAGAATAAAGGATCTACAATTCAGCAACCAAAAATCAAACAACCTTATTAAAAAATGGGAAAAGAACATGAGAAATTTCTCTTAAAAAAGATATACACAATAGTCAGTAAGTGTATCAAAAGATTCTCCACAGCACTAATCATTAAGGAAATGCAAACTGATATCACTTCATGCCCATTACAATGGCTGTTATCAAGGAAGGAAAATAATGAGTGTCGATAAGGATGTGGAATTGGAACCCTTGTGCATAGCTGGTGGGAATGTAAAATGGTGCAACCACTTTTGGAGTCAGTATGGTAGTTCCTCAAAAAATTAAGCATACAATTACCGTATAATCCAGCAATTCCACTTCTAAGTAGATACCCAAAAGAATTGAAAGCAAGGACCCAAATAGAGATTTTTATACCAGTGTTCACAGCAACATTAATCACAGTAGCCAAAAGGTGGGAGTAACACAGGTGTCCTTTGATGGATGAATGCATAAACAAAATGTGTACACATGCAATGGAATATGATCCTTAAAAAGGAATGAAAATCTGATATATGCTACAGCATAAATGAACCTTTAATACATTACACTGAATGAAATAAGTTGGAAACGAAAGGACAAATAGTGTAGGTACAGGAAACAATCAAATTCATAGTGACAAAGTAGAACAGTGGTTATGGGGGTCAAGGAAAGGACGAATGGAGAGTTTTTATTTTCTATTTTTATTTTTTTGAAGATTTTATCTATTTGTCAGCACAAGCAGGGGGTAGCAGCAGGCGGAGGGAGAGGTAGGCTCTCTGCTGAGCAAGGAGCCTAATGTGGGACTTGATCCCAGGACCCTGGGGTCATGACCTGAGCTGAAGGCAAATGCTTAACCAACTAAGCCACTCAGGTGTCCCTAGAATGGAGAGTTTTTAATAGATACAGACTTTCCATTGGGGTGATGAAAAATTCTGGAGATGGAAAGTGGTGATGGTTGTACAGTATGAATATACTTAATGCCACTTAATTATACACTTAAAAAATGGTCAAAATGGGAAGTTATATATATATATATAATCACACACACAAAAAATGTGCATACACTCATAACCACAAACTAATGTCACACTTCTGCAATGGTTGGTTTAAGAGTGTCAGTAATAGTAATAATAGTTACTAAATAAAAAAAAAAAGATCTTAAATCAACAACCTAACATTATACCATAAGGAACTAGGAAAAAAAGAGCAAGCTAAGCCCAAAGCTATCAGAAGGAAGGAAATCAAAATTAGAGCAGAGAGAAAAATAGAGAACAGAAAAACAGTATCAAGGAAATCAAAAGTTGGTTCTTTGGAAAGATCCACAAAATTGACAAACCTACAGCCAGACTGACTTAAGAAAAAAAGAAGATGCAAAAAACAAAAATCAGAAATGAAAGTGGGGAAATTATTACCAACCTCAAGTTAAAAGAAAAAGAAAGGAATAATTGTACTTAATAATTGTAACAAACTAGATGAAATGGACAAATCCCTAGAAATACACAAATTAGCAAAACCGACTCAAGAAAAAAACAAAATGTGAACAGGCCTATAACAAAGAGATTAAATCAGTAATAAAAAAAACTTTCCAATACCATATATTTGTATGAATATAGATGAAAAAATTCCTAACAAATTACTGGCAATAGCATAGAAAAGGGATTATATACCATGACCAAGTGGTATTTATCTCAGGAATGCAAGGATAGTTCAACATAAGAAAATCAATGTAATATACACACACACACATACACATATGTAATAGAACAAAAGAGGAAAACCATGTGATCATTTCACTTGATACAGGAAGAGCATTTGATAAAATCCAGTACCCTTTTATGATAAAAACACTCAGAAAAATAGGGGATCAAAGAATAGGAATAAGTAAAATAGAGGAATAAGAATAGAACTTCCTCAACTTCATAAAGGGCATTTATGGAAAACCCCACAGCTAACATCATACTCAATAGTGAAAGACTACAAGCTTTCCTCCTAAGATCAAGACAAGAATGCTCACTTTCACCACTACTATTCTACATTATACTGGAAATCTTAGCCAAAGTAATCAGTCAAGAAAGAAATAAAAGGCATCCAATTTGTTAAGGAAGCAGTAAAACTATCTCAATTTGCAGGTGATATTATCCTATATATAGAAAATTCCAAGGAATTTACAAAAAAAAAAAAAACTGATGTTGATAAATTCAGTGAAGTTACACAGTATCTATCAATGCACAAAATTCATTTGTGTTTGATTTTGAATATACAACCTAAAAACAAATTAAGAAGATAATTCCATTGGCAGTAGAATCCAAAAGAAGAAAATATTTGCGAATGAATTTAACCAAGGAGGTCAAAGACCTGTACAGTGAAACTGCAAAATTTTGTTGCACTAAATGAAAAGAAATCCTGTGTTATGGATTAGAAGACAATTTTATTAAAATGACAGTACTACCCAAAACAATCTATACATTCACTGCATCTCTATCAAAATTCCAACAGCCTTTTTTGTAAAAATGTCGTGGAATATTTAAATGTCAAATTGGTTCTCATTATTAAAGATAACTTTAAACAACACAAGACTAATTATAATGAAACGTTAAATTGTCTGATGTATGCTGAAAGTGCTATAAGAAGTTGAGACAGGATTGAATAATTCTGTTTTCTCATTTAGGGTCAAGTGATTAAGGTACAAATACCCAGTTGATAAGAACCTTGTCTTCTGAGGCTTTAACAGAACTCCTGCAGTGATTCTCCAGTCTCCATCACACTTGTAATGTTTACCTTTGTTTTCCACCCTTTAAATGCCTTTACACATATCAAGGATACTGTTCCTCCACACACCAGATTCCTGTATAGTCTTAAATATTTCACAATATCTACCAATGTTTGTAAATTTTATAATATGCCTAAAAGAAAGAATTTTGCAATTATACAGATCAGAGTCTGCGAGCAAACTGCTCCTTCTATACTTTAGTTTCTTCATCTGCAAAACAAGACCAATAGGGTTGTTATAAGGATTGTATCAAATTATGTAAAGCACTTAATACCATGCACATTATAAACTCTCAATAAGAGCTAGTTAATTTTGTAATATAGCAAAATTGGATGCATAATTGTTACTATCTTCTTTTTTTAAAGAACAGAGAAAGTAAGCCTACCCTATTTCTTAGCTTTCCACAGCTATTCAAATTCAAAGTTGTCATAGATGGGATTTTGTATAAGGCCCTGAACAAGGCTTGTTTAAGAGGTCACACCTTCAGCTCCATGAAATGATCTACTGTGATCTTTTTTTAATAATAGAAACTAAAAATAGAAATCTGTTCCTTTCTTGTGTTCTTTCCAGCTAGAAATGCTAAAATAATTTAGAAGTAAAGGAATCTAGAGTTAATTTATTGTTCAGTTTGTTGCATGGACTATGAGATGGTATAACACAATACAATACTGCGAGAGAAGAAATTTATTTTGTTTAGTATTAAAAAAAAAAAAGAAATTCACTGTATCGCCAAAGATAAAAAGCATTTCCATAATTTAGAGTATGACCAAAGCACATAGGCCATAAGAAATGATAACCAAAATTTTGAGGATAGCAGCTTCCAAATGAAGTACTTAATAGATACTTTCAGTTATAATGATCAGTAAAACGAAAAGATTTGGCTTCTGACATATATAGGTGGCTCTGCAATTGTTTAGAATTCTTTGCTTCTAGTCGGAGCTGTCTAGTTCTTTCTCTGGCAGCTTGTTGCTCAACTAGTTTTTCAATCCGTTTCCTTCGCAACCATCTGTAGAAAGATATGATAAGATCTGGTGAGTATCAACGTGAATACTCTTCTTGCTATAAAGTTATTGCTACAGACTATTAAAGGAAGTTGAGTTTCTTTACATTGAAATGCTGTAGTCACAAAGAAAAAATTATTAAAGTACTAATGAAAATTTCAGGTTTACCCCCTAAGCTCACACAAGGAAACACAGTCACATTTGCAATCAAATACTTAAAATTAACTTTGTCTTAAAATGAGACTGCCAACTAAAAAAAAAAACCTGAGTTTTGAGTAATAAACACAATATTTTACATGTGATATAGGTCCTATTCTTTTGTTTAAATATGATTTTCTAAGCATAGAAAATCTAAGCATAGAAAATCTATCAAGTATTTGATAGATTCCAATTAACTTATTTTTTACAACTAACTGTATTCCAAAATATGACTCAATTAGGTTAAGAATCCCAGCATGCAGAAATGTTGCTTTGCTCTTGTTGGTAGGGACACTAATGTGTTCTTGCTTTTTACTGCACAAAACAGTTCTTCTTTAAAATGGAAATATAAGCCTAAGCATAAAAAAACACCCAAAAAAGGAGGAGGAAAAATCAACATTCAAACAAATTTAAATCTATACACCTTGCTTAGGTAAAATAACTCAAAAATAACTGTACATACACATATGAAAGTGTATGCGGTGCACATGTGTATATATACATCAGTTGTTTTCAGAAATAACCCTAAACAACTAAATGTATCAGAATAGAAGAGACTTAACATCATAAGCCAATGTTGTGTGGTCCCAAATTGGACACTAGTTTGAGCAAATTAACTGTAATCATTTAGGGGTCCACTGGGAAAATATAATTATGGGCTGGATATTAGATGAGATTATTAATAAAAATAAGCAGATTACAGAATAGTATATACATATGATCTCAATTTATATTTTAAAATTATAATGTACAGAGAAATATCTAAAAGATATGGACTAAGGTACTGACAGTGATTTCTAGGTGATGAAAATGTGACTTTTTCCCCCTCCATTTCCACAATGCACATTTACTGCTTCTCTGACAATATTTATATATGTTTAAAAAGAGAAAAAAAAAAAGGAAGAAAGAAGCAAAGAAACAAAGAAAGAAAAAGATAGGAAAGAAAGAAAGGAACTTAAAGCAACTGGATTCAATATTCACTACCTCTCCCAAGGGTTACTGGCAAAATTATGAAACCAGGTCTGTTTCCTCACAATTAGCCAGGTAATATAAAGTCTTAACCAGGTAACTGAAAAGATCAGGTTTGCCTTAAACTACCATAATGTGTGCCCAAATCTCTTTTTCAATTTGGTCTATACAGATCTTTCTTCTCAGCCTGAATTTCTTTATAGAAAAATATTTCTTGGGAAATGCGACCCTTTATTCAGTTTTTCTGAGGACTATGTAGGAATTAGCTGTACATTATCTTTGGCCCATTTCTCTAAAAAATGAACAAAATAACAAATAAATGGTAGGCTATCAAAGGTTACCAGACAGGTAAAATATAAAATAATTTTGGTATTGAAAATATCTTGAAGAAAGAAAGAATGGTATATAGGTATTATGCAAAATATGGAGCTAAAGAATTTTCTCACACACTTTTAAAAGTGTGGATTTACAATTGAATAGATATGTAATATAAGAGATAAAATATTTTGTGGGGTTTATTTTCAAGCTTTATTGACTACCGAGCTCTCTGAAAGGACTGTGAGGAGAGGGGAAGCATCTCTGGCCTGGAACTTACTGTTTAAAGGCCCGCTCGCGGCCCTCTGTTCCTTTAAGGAAGAATAAGCATTCCTCTTGCTTTCGTAGTTCTTCTGTCTTTCTTTCTTTCAACTGCTCTTCATGCTTTTTTTTAAGCCATAATCGAAAAGCTTGTTGTGGATCTCTGTTTTCCTGCTAATTACAAAAACAAGCTTTGTAAATAAACTAAAACTACTTTTTGAGGCCCTGCCTATAGGACCGTACAAGAATACATGTTCCACTCATCAATTTTTCATAATAATGCCAACCTCATTCCCCGTACTCCTAGTATCTAATCAAATTATATCACCTTTGAACCAGCAACACACATTGACCTCTGTCAGAAAATTCAACACTGAATTTAACTGCCATCTGGCATCTTTCAAAACTTATTGAGGTAATCAATAAATGAAAAGCGTTTTTACAGCAATTTGCAAACTTCTCAATGAGGAGCTCTTTGACAAAATAATTTTTTACAATGGCACAAAAAAATAAAACGGGCTTGAAGAAGGATTGGGATAGATAATATGAATGGAGTTGAGGTCTTTGTAACAATTCCTGAAGGAGCTCCCTGGAATGCAGTTTGAAAGCTAATGATCCAACACTTCTATTATTCATCCTTTCTTTTAAATTCTACCTTTTTTTTTTTTTAAAGATTTTTTTTTTATTTATTTATTTGAGACAGAGAGAATGAGAGAGAGAGAGCACATGAGGGGGGGAGGGTCAGAGGGAGAAGCAGGCTCCCTGCTGAGCAGGGAGCCCGACGCGGGACTCGATTCAGGGACTCCAGGATCATGACCTGAGCCGAAAGCAGTCGCTTAACCAACTGAACCACCCAGGCGCCCTCTACCTTTCTTTTTAACTTGTAAGAGCATCTGTCAAGCTCATCTCCAAAATGTAATCACTCTTATGGAGGGTGGCCATAAGGATTTGCAGCCATAAAAATTTTCTCATAAGAACCATGCTGATTTTGTCGTAAGTAAAAGCTAATGGGAGTAGCTTATTGTATGGTTCCTAGAACTTCATGATGGATACTATCTTCAGAGAATTTTCAAAAGTTGAAAGAGCTCTTATTTGGGAGAATAAAGAGAGCAAAGGGACAGATTTGGGGCTAGGGGAAAGCATGCCTCATTATTTTGATGCCTGGCTAAAACACAAAGGAAAGGATGCATTCATTTAATACTTCCCCTAAAGAGAAGCTCGATGGTAGAGAGGACCATTTCCTACATCTTGCATTTTCCTTTTTTTTTTTTTTTTAGATTTTATTTATTTGAGAGAGAGAGACAGAGATAGCGAGCAAGAGATAGAGAGCATGATGGGGGAGGAGAGGGAGAAGCAGGCTCCCAGTGGGGCTCGATCTCAGGACCCTGGGATCATGACCTGAGCCGAAGGCAGACGCTTAACTGACTGAGCCACCCAGGTGCCCCTGGTTTTTCCTTTATCTATTACTCACATTGCCAAGTATGTTCCAGTTTAATTTATAAAATTTACATAATCTAGGATCTTTGATGTACAATGCTGAAGTCTGTGAAGATAACCCATGGATGACCTAAAGGATCACTGCCAAACACCTAGAAGTCTGGGAATGGCTGGAGATGACCAAAAAGTGTTCATTCTGGAATTATAGATCAAAAGAGGCAAGGATTCAGAGGTGAACAGGACTGATTGGTATCTCTATTCATTTATTCATTTAGCAGATATTTACAGAGTATCTACGACAGAGTATCTACAGGCACGTAGGTACTGGGTTGCATCAGTGAAAAAACAAAGTTCCCTCTCTCATATATTCTATGATTGCACTGTCCAATACAGTGACCACTAGCCACATGTAGCTATTTAAAGTTAAAAATTCAGTACTTCAGTCACACTAGCTACATTTCAAGTGCTTAAGAGCCACATCGTGGCTAGTGACTACTTTATTGGACAATGCAGATATAGAGCATTCCCATCAACCCAGAAAGTTGTATTGGGCAGTGTTATTCTAGATGAGGAGAAAGGTGGTATGTAGACAGAAAGTTATCAGATATCTGGAGACAGCGTATTTCAAGCAGTGGTCACAGTAATACACAAAGAAGGAGTTCTTAACTGGCTATCATCCCAGGATTCAGCAGAAGGAATAGGTAAGGGGCGCCTGGGTGGCTCAGTCGTTAAGCGTCTGCCTTCGGCTCAGGTCATGATCCCAGGGTCCTGGGATCGAGCCCCGTATCGGGCTCCCTGCTCCGCGGGAAGCCTGCTTCTCCCTCTCCCACTCCCCCTGCTTGTGTTCCCCGTCTCACTGTGTCTCTCTCTGTCAAATAAATAAATAAAATCTTAAAAAAAAAAAAAAGAAGGAATAGGTAAAAAAGTCCATCTCCCATTCTTTTCCTGGAAGAGTGTGTCCATCAGCACACTTGAAAAACTGCTGCTTGAGGGTCAGGCTTCTAATTTAGAATGCCTCTAAAGGCTAGCTTTCATCATCCCCAAGGACCAAGAAGGCTGTTGACACCTCTGCTGCTGTCTCCCTGTAACCTGCTCTAAGTAGCCAGTATCTCCCATGAAGGACATTTACAAACATCTGCTGTACCCAAATTTTTATGGCTGCACCCAAAGAACAGGTTCCTAGGTCACCTGGTTCTGATAGCCACTGGAACTTCCATTCATGAGTACCACAAGATGGTAGCAATCAAATAAGTAGATCTTAATGGGCACAGGAATATCGCCCTGCAGATATACACCTGGGCTCAGTGCAGATGGAACAGGAAAAAACACCCATCTCCCAGTTTCTCTTTGGAAAGGGCTTAGCCACATACCTTCCCAGCTGTGCCAGAAGGCCTGGCTTCCATTTAGCCTGCAAAAATACACTACCTGGCACAGATGTCCAGCAGAATTGAGGAGAAATCAGAGCTTTTCAGACAAACAAAAGCCAAAGGTACCTATTCATCACCACTCAAATGCCTTAGAAGAAATGTTGTAATGAAAGAAAAGGATGCTAATTAGTAGCAAAAAATATATGAAAGTATAAAACTCACTGGCAAAAATAAATATAGAGTTAATAACACCCTAATGTAATGGTGGTAGGTAAATCATTTAGAACTCTAGTATGAAGGTTAAAAGATAAAAGTATTAAAAATAACTATAACCAAAACAGACTGTTATAAATACAAGGTGTTTATGAGAGTCTCATGGTAATCATAAAGCAAAAACATATAGTAGATACACAAAAGATAAAGAGCAAGAATCAAAGCATACCACTACAGAAAATCACCAACTCACAAAGGAAAAGAATAAGAGCAGAACAAGGGAACAAAGTAATTACAAAACAACCAGAAAACATTTAACAAAATGGCAATAGTATTTCCATACCTATCAATAACTACTTTAATGTAAATGCACTAAAGCTGAATGGATATAAAAACAAGTCCCGACTACATGCTGCCTAAAGAGACTAAATTCAGCTTTAGGACACATATAAACTGAAATTAAAGAGATGGAAAAAGATATTCCACGTAAATAGAAACTAAAAAAGAGCAGGGGTAACTATACTTATATAAGACAAAATAAATATTAAGCCAAAACAAAAACTTGTATGGTATTAACATAAAAAAATAATGCACACATTAATGTAACAGAAGAGAGAGCTCAGAAATAACCTCATGTGTACATGGTAAATTAATTTTAAAAAAGTTACAAAAAATAAACAATGGGAAAAGGATAGTCTCTTCAATTAATTGATTTGGGAAAACTGGATTACCACATGCAAAAGAATCAAAATGGACCTCTACCATACACTATATAAAAATAACTCAAAATGAATTGAAGACTTGAGTGTAACCTGAACAACTCCTAAAAGGAAACATTAGAATAAGCTCCTTGATATTGTTCTTAGAAATAATTTTTTTTGGATTTGACAGCAAAGGCAACATAAACAAAAATAAGCAAGTGAGAGGACAAACAAAAGCTTCTGCTTAGCAAAGGAAACCTTCAACAAAATGAAAAGACAACCTGTGGAATGGGAGAAAATATGTGTAAACCACATATCCAATTAGGCAACATGAAAAAACCATCAGTACCTCTAATTATCAGGGAAATGCAAATCAAAATGACCATGAGCTACTGTTAGGATAGCTATTATCAAAAAAGAGAGGGAGGGAGGGAGGGAGAGAGGGATAGAGGGAGAGAGGGAAGGAAGGAAGGAAGGAAGGAAAGAAGGAAGGAAGCAAGCAAGCAAGCCTGGATACCAGGGGCTGAGGAGTGGGAGAAATAGGGAGAGGTTGGTAAAAGGGTACAAACTTGCAGCTGTAAGATGAAAAATGTCTGAGAATCTAGTGATTAACATTGTGACTATAGTTGATTACACTGTATTATATAATTGAAATATGCCAAGAGAGTAGAACTTAATATTTTACCAAAAGAAAAAAGGAGTAAATATGTGAAGTGACAGACATGTTAATCAATTTAATGGGGAGAATCCTTTCACAATGTATATGTGTATCAAATTCTCATGTACACTTTAAATATCTTACAATTTTGTCAATTATACCTCAGGAAAGCTAAAAAAGAAAAAGACTTACATCACAGACACAAGAATGTAAACTTAAACAAAAAACAACCTAAACTCTATGAATGGGCTTAATAGTAAACTAGATGCAGCAGAAAAAAGTGTCAATGCCCAAAGACAGATCAATAGAAATTATGCAAACTGAACAAAGAAAAATATTTTTAACTTTTTAATTTTAATTTTAACAGAACCTTAGTAACATGTGAAATAATAGCAAGTCTTCTAATGTATGTGAAATTGGACTTCCAGAATAAAAAGAGCAAGAAAATGGAGCCCCCCCCAAAAAAATTGTAAAAATAATGGCAGAGAGGGGGAAAAGATGGGGGAGGAGTAGGGGACCCTATTCCAACCGGTCCCCAGAATTGAGCTAGATATCTACCAGACCACTCTGAACACCCACGAAATCAGCCTGAGATGTAAGAAGATAGAGCTGGATCTCTACAAACAGAGTATCGCAGGTGGTTGGTTTCGAGATACGAAGTGGGGAGCCGTGATTCCACGGGCAGATATCGGAGGATAAATGGCAGCAGAAGGAAGCCTGGCCGTGAGGGTCCTACACCACCGGTGAGCTATAGCCTCCCGTGCTGGAGACGGGACACAGACTCACAGACCGGTAGTG